CTACCAAGCATGACATCCTTCTCCAGGGAATGGTCCCTTCTTACAAGGGGATAAAAGCCTTGAACCCAGAAAGAAGAGCAGTCAGCCCCAGGCTTACAGGTGAGGAGAGACAACGTAGGGACGCCAGAGTAGCAGGCCGGAAGAGCAGGGAAGGGGATAAAAGCCTTGAACTCGGACAGAAGAGCAATCAGCCGAAGAGATTAGGTAAGGAGGGGAAACTCAGGCCCACCCAGAGTAGCAGGCCGGAAGAGCAGGAGAAAGGGGATAAAAGCCTTGAACCCAGACAGAAGAGCAGTCAGCCCCAGGCTTACAGGTGAGGAGAGACAACACAGTCATAGTGACCCCCATTGTGTTTCTGAGGCGGTAAATCTTTACAGAAGTACATTGCCCCATCTTCCTTCTGCAGAGCGGCTGATAGATTTGAACCACCAACCTGCTGGTTAGCAGTCAAATGCCTTAGGCACTGCATTTACATATTTGTAAAAAAATAAGTGAATGAATACCTGTCTTACAGAATGGGTGTGAGACTCAAATGAGGTGGTTGTTTGCCATCAAGTTGATTCCAACTCATAGCCCCCCCATGTAACAGAGTAGAACTGTCCTGTGAAATCTTTACAGGAGCAGAGCAAACCAAACCAACCCACTGCCATCGAGTCGATTCCGACTCATAGAGACCCCCTTTGGGTTTCCGAGGTGGTAAATCTTTATGGAAGTAGATTGCCCAGTCTTCCTTCTGTACAGTGGCTAGTGGGTTTGAACTGCCAACCTTCTGGTGAGCACTCAGATACTTTAGGCACTATGCCACCAGAGCTCCTTAGCCAGGTCTGGGAGTAGATACCCAGGTCTTTTATTCAGTGGAGCAGTTTCTGGGTTAACTTAATCATTATGCCACCAAAAACAAAACAAAACAAAACAAAAAACCCAAAAAAACCAACTCACTTCTGTCGAGTCGGGTCTGACTCATAGCGACCCCTCCTTGGGTTTCTGAGGCAGAATCTCTATGAAGTCTTCCTTCTGAGGAGTGGCTGGTGAGTTTGAACCACCAGCCTTCTGGTTAGCAGTCAAATGCCTTGGGCACAGAGGTAATGTTGTTGTTCTTATTTGCCATTGAGTCGGCCCTGACTCCTAGCGACCCCTCCTTGGGTTTCCGAGGCAGTTATCACTAGGAAGTAGGACTGCCCAACCTTCCTTCCGAGGAGTGGCTGGTGGGCTTGAATACAGAGGTAATAGAGCCTGGTAATTTCTCCCAGAAAAATATGTAGTTCCTCCAAGGCAAAATTTGCTCTGGAACTCAAAGTTGGGTTGACCAAGACTTTGTCCAATCTGTATTGATGTCTGTAGACTTCCCTGCCCAAGCTCCTTTCTCCTCCTTTATCCTTGATAAGCATCACCCCCCAAAAAACCTCTAGTCCTCCTAATTCCATCTCAACATCTGTTTCACATGAGACCCAAGTGACACACATTAATACTAAATTATTAGGTAATTAAGTAGATTATAACAATGTATTAATTAATAATAATGAGGCTTCAATAAGCCAATGATCTATGATGTTTTTCTCACTGGAAACTGTGATCTGAGTTCCAATTGACCGGCGTAGGCATGCCTTTCGGGGGCAGAGCCCGTCTTCTGGGGCAGGAAGGACTGTCTGTACTTGTCTGTCTGTTCCTGCGTTGTTTCTGCTCCACTGTCTGGAAGGTGGGGTGGGGGTAGCAGCAGGGGACAAGCCTTGGTAGTGCCATCTGGTCGCAGCCTCTGAGTCCAGGCTGCCACTCAGACCTGTGAGGGACATAGGCTCTGATCCTCTGAGAACCCTGGAGGGGGTCCAGTGTCATCAGCCCTATTCTCCAGGTGGACACTCGGGACAACCCATGTATGTTCCTGGGGTAGGAAACTTTGAGGGTCACGTGGTATGCAGGCATCACAGGTTTAAGTACCACCCAGGAAGCCTCGTAGCAACCCCTACTGCCTGTCCAGGGCGTGACTAGGGAGAAGATTTGAGGCTGTGGTATAAAGGTGCTGTTCGCCTCCACATGCCTGACAAGAGTCGCCAAAGGAGTTTATTAGAAATGCCGATCCTAGGCCCCATCCCCTGGAGCCATGGGTTCAGCCAGTCTGGGGTGTGTTGGGGAAGTTGTATTTTTAGTAAGCTCCCCAGGGGATTCTCATGATGAGGCAAGTTTGGAAAACTAACTTGAGCAAGTAACTTCTCTAAGCCACATTTTCCTCCTTGGTGAATTATCGATGATACAGCCTCTCATGGAAGGTTAACAGGAAGATGAGTGATAAAGTATGTGAACTGCCGAGCAGCATGGCTGAAGCTTGCTTCCTCCCCGTCCCCGGTGCTATTATTGCTACTGCTGCTCTATCAGTGTACTCCCGGGCTTGGCTCTGCCGTGCCTCCTGCCTCATAGGCAGGAGGCACCTTGAGGACTCCCCCCATTTCAGGTCTGGGCTTGGCTGTGGAGATTGCTGGCTAGGGCCTAGGACTTTAGCAGAATGTCGGGTCCGCCAGTTGGCTCTGATACGGCAATTCCAGCCCTCTACTGTCTGGGAGACTGGAGATCTTAGGGGTCATGCAGCTTGGTGCTGGTCCATTAGTGGGGACAGGGCACAGAAGAGTCACAGAACTCACCATTCCCCTCTCTTGTAGTCACTCAGACTTCACTGCCAAGAAAATGCTGGAGTAACTGGAATGTCTGCTGCCCTGAGGAAGGTGCTCTGGTGGTGCAGTGCCTAAGGCATTTGACTGCTAACCAGAAGGTGGGTGGTTCAAACCCACCAGCTGCTCTGCGGAAGGAAGATGGGGTGATCTACTTCTGTGAAAATCCAATGGGGGCCACTATGAGTCAGAATTGACTCAATGGCAGTGGGTTTGGTTTTGATTTGGCTACCCTGAGGGAGCTTAGGGAGCTTAGGCCCCATGAGTTGGAAGTGCTGTTTGTGGCTTTTAATAAACTTCTGTGGCTTACCTGTGCTGGCTGAGAATAGTCCAGCTGTTAAGTTGTTTATTCATTAATAAGCAAGGTGAAGACAGTCAACCTTTGGCCAAGTTTGCCACAAATGACAGGAAGTAGACTTGTTTGCAGTGTCGGGGGAAGGGAGAAACAATTAGGACAAAGAGTTACAGCTGCTGAGAGGCGAGTGGGCCAGGGGTGCTCAGGAGGAATGACCCATCCTGTTATGGAGATAGTGAATCTAAACCAGTGGCTCTGAAGAGACGTTAAATATTAATTGTAAACAGATAAGAACACCATCACCTTTTGCTATATTGCAGGGAGGGGAGAGGCAGGGAGGAAAAAGGGAGATATGTCTGGGTACAAAGAGTGTACTACTATATTTCTGGAAGGGTCCCTGAGACAACTGGAGTTTGATCCTATTTTCAGAAATGTTCAGGGCTTTTGGGACTTGAGGGTGCATTTGCTCCTCAGGGACCCCATTACAGGCCCTCTCCTCCTTATACTCCAATAATCTCATTCTCCAAGAATCCAAACATGTATGGAATGTTCCTTCTGTTGATGAGAACAAAAAGCCCTAGGCTTGAGCTCCAGCTCTGTCACTGCCTCAATATGGGGCCTTGGGTGAGTCCCTTGCCCTCTCTGGGCCTCAATTTCCTCATCTCAGGGGTCATCTGAGATGCAAATGGTTCAAAGGCTGTGATAACACTCTGAGTCACAGAGTACAGGGGCCCTTTCCTCACCTGGGAGCAAGCGCAAGGGGAAGGTGGACAGTATGGACCCCATGCTGCCACCAGTGGAGTGTTGGGGAGGCAGGTCTCAAGGAAAGCCTAGGGGATCTGCCTAAAGGTTACCACTGCCACCCCCAAACAGTTCCCATCTATGACCTCACTTGTCTCTAGATGCTGTTTCCTGAAGCTCCTACAATCCCTCCCCTTGTCCACTCCAGACAGTAAAGACCCTCTGCTTGGCCTGGAGCAATCCTGAGGAAATCAGAGTAATTTGAGCCTGTGAGAAAATGCGGGGTGATTCTGAAGCCAACCCACACTGGGGAGTGGGTCACTTCCTGTGCTGCTCCATTTAAAAAAATCACAACAGGAAACAGCTATACTTTCTTGGGCACTGAAGTACTTCAGGAATTTATTTTACTTCATCCTCACCACAAGTGTGAGGCAGGTGTTACCCTCCCCATTCCACTGATGAGGAAGCTGAGGATGTAGCAGTGATTCATTTGCTTGAAGTCTCACAGCTGCTAAGTGGTAACACGGATGGGCTGAGCCCAAGGCTGAATTTCCAAAGTTGTGAAGGAAGTACAGTTTTTGGTTGGTGTCTCCTTCAGGGGCTATGTGGCCCCAGGTTCCTTTCAAATCCTCCTCCCAGGATAGGGCTTGAAACTCCTTCCTGAAGAAAAGGTTCATATGTTCTCCCTGCCCAGTGGGCCTGCATCTCACTTGGGGTAAAGTTTCTAGCAAAGGAGTGAATGAGTTCAAAATGGTGGCATTTTAGGTGGTGGTCCTGGTTGGACTTGAGCCCCAGGTGGCGCCCTTCGCTGGAGTCTTGCCATCATGTTGCCTTAGGCCTTGGCAGAAGTGCAGGTTGTTCTGGTTCTGCCCAGCCTACTATGAGACATCCTTTCCCAGGCTCCGAGGTCTCACTCTCTGTCAAACTAGATCATGAAACCGGCCAGGAACAAGGAGAAGAGGACAGGGCTCCTGGAAGACTTTGAGCCAGCATATTAGGAGCTGGGGCCCTGGATCACTGAGACTTCTCCATGCATTAACCCCCACACTATGACTGCCCCCTCCTGCCCTGTCGGGTCTCGTGCACACACTCATTTGCACATGCTGTATGCCCACCCTTACCTCCTCTGGTTGGCTCTTCATTGTGCCTCTTTGCCATGGCAGGGGCCCAGTGTCCCCTCCCTCTGACTCTCTCAAGGGCACCTACCTGGGGCTGGGCCCAGTGTGCTCACAGTTGGTCACGACAACTGAGGAAACGAGGTTGGTGGGTTTGGGGAGATGAGTCCCCCACCAGCTGTTCTCCCCTCAGGCCTCCCATTGCACAGTCAAGTCCAGGTCTCTGAAAAGGGACTCCAGCTCAATGGGCTGTTCTAGGTCTGGGGCCCAAGGTTCTTCGCTCTTGGTCTCTGTCTTGGACACTGGACTCTCATCCTTAGGGCACACAAGAGACTCCAGCAGGCCCCAGTGACTTGGACCATGGCCTGAGGGGGAGCATGGTGGGGAAGGAGTGTGCAAAGGGAGGGACACAGGGTGACCCTCAATCTGGACAGAGGCGAGCAGGGGGAGGTGGCCCTTTAGGTATCCTGGTGTCCCTGGCTCCCCATTCAGGTCAGGTGTTCTTTCCTTGTGAACTCCTAGATACTGGTGGGAGGATTTTTCTTCTTGGGGTTCCTCCATACCCAAGGAGGACACAGCCTGCAGAGAAAGGTCACCTGGGATGTAGCTTCTGACCGGGACCTCTTTCTGGAGCTGACCTTTAGGCCTGAGGTGCTTGGGACTAGAGAGTGCCACAGGCAGGGAATCTTTTCCAGAGCCTTCCATGAACAGACCATAGGATGGAGGCCAGCTGTTCCGAGTGGCCTGAGGGGTGTAGGAGGGAGGCGGGACCTCAGACATCTTCCGTGGAGTGTAGCTTGGATGTTCAACTTCGGGGGTGGCCTGAAGTGTGTAGGATGGGGGTCTGGCCTCAGGGCCAGCCTGTGGGGCATAGGGCAGTGAGGAGAGTATCTGGTGAGGTAGCATGTTGTGAGGCTGGAGGATGGACATGTCTGGTTGACCAAAGTAAGTGATCTCAGGCAGGCTGGGCAGCTGTGGGGCTCCTTGGGCCTCCCTGGGCCCAGGCACCTTCACCTGAGAGTACTGGACTGTCTGGGCTAGGCTGCTGGGGCCGCTGAGGTCCAAGGCAGGGATCACGATGCGCTCCTGGATGAACTGCAGTGGCTGGAAGGTCAGGACTCGCTGGACATTCTGTGTGGGAACAAAAGTCCACCTCGTTAGTGCAGGTTCAAAGCCTCGATGATGACGTGAGTGAGGTCAGGTACCCATAGCCCCTTGCTTTCAAGAACCCTCTAAATGCTGGGGCCTCTGGGAAGGGACAGGGGCTCCCAGGCCTTTAGGTAAGGGCCATGGGTAGAGTCTGGGTTATCTCAGGGAGACTCAGGCTCTGGTTTCTCTCATTGTTATTAGCTGCCATTGAGTCAGGCTCCAACTCAGGGCAACCCCATACACAACAGGCTTGGACTGTTGTGCTCCATTAGGTTTTCAATGGCTGACTTTTGTCAGTATATAGCCAGACCTTTCTTCCTACTCCATCTTAGTCCGGAAGCTCCACTGAAACCTGTTCAGCTTCATAGCAACCCGCAGGTCTCCAATGATAGACAGTGACCTGCATTGGCTGGAAATCGAACCCCAGTCTCCTACGTAGGAGACAAATTTTACCGCTGAACCACCACTACCTCACCACTACCTCTAAACCAAAACCAAACTCACGGCTGTCGAGTTGATTTTGACTCATAGTGACCCCTCCTTGGGTTTCCGAGGCAGTATCACTATGGAAGTAGATTGCCCAACCTTCCTTCCGAGGAGTGACTGGTGTGTTTGAACCACCAGCCTTCTGGTTAGCAATCAAATGGCTTAGGCACTACACCACCAGAGCTCCTCCACTACCTCTAGGAAATACATAATCTAGGAAGGAGAGACCAGATTTTGGGTTGACTCAGAGAACACTCTTGAGATGGGGGTCCACATTGCTCCTTGGCTCCCAGTTTTGAGGGCCTGATAGAAGGCAAACTGGGAAAGGATGGGGCAAAGGGGGGGTGAGAGAGAAAACGGCTCCTCTGGATGGTGACATTAGCAACATGCCCTCAGAGCTGCTGTGTCCTTGGGTAGATGAGAGCTGGCCCCAGGCGCCCAGATGGCTCATGGCTGTTAGGGCCTGACACTAGCTGAGGCAGTGCTGGCCTCTGGATCGGGCCTGCTGGTGGGATTTATGTGGCTGGCATAGAGCTTTACATTTTTTAAATCAGTTGCCCAATATTTGAGAATAGGGGATTTCATGTTACAATATGAAACACTGGCTTCCCTTGAAAAAATGGGAGGCTCTGGCAAGATTGGGCCTGTATTCCCATGTGGCCACACTTGGCTGCCCGTTCAGACAGGGTGTGAGGTATGGCATACCGCAGCCCCCACCTCTTCCCATGCTCCACACGTCGCGGCAGCCTGCTCACTCTGTGCCTGCAGTACCTGCTAGGCTCTGCGCGCTTTCAAGCTGCATCAGTTTTCTGTTGCCACATGCATTATCCCCAACCCCCTACCCCTTTGCAACATCCTCCAAGACCCATAGGCCATGCTCTGGCCAGTTCCAGATTAGACTGTGAGCTCCTCGAGGGGAGAAATCAGGCCTAATTTCTGCTTTGTGTGCTGATCCCTGCATTTCAGGGAGAATGAGCGGTCTCGGGCCCTGGGCTATGCCCTCCGCTGCTCAGGGACCTTCCCTAGACTTTTCTTCCTGACCCCTCTGGGACTGCTCACCAGGGAGTTGGGTGGCTGAGGCAGCTTCGTGACGTATCTGTAGCTCAGGTAGCAGAGCACGGCAACGAGGAAGCCCATGGAGAACAGGAAGACGCCCCAGAAGGAATAGGTCCACGTTGGATCTGGTGAGCCAAGAGGCCAGAGAAGGAAGGTGAGGCTGGATCCCAAGTGTGCATGCTGCAGACTTGGGGGTTTTCCTCCTCTGCCCTCTCAGGTGAGGCTTGGGAAGCTTCTCCTACCCCCCTATCTGCAGGGCCCCGGGAAGGGCACTTATAGAGGTTCACACACCATGAAACAAAACCAAATCATTTGCTGTTGAGTTGATTCCTGATAGAATACAGTTGGTTCCAACTCAACGTGACCCCATATGTTGCCGAGTACAACTGTTCCCTAGGCTTTTCTTGACTATAGCCTTTACAGAAACAGATTGCCAGGCCTTTCTTCCACAGTACTGCTGGATAGGTTTGAACCATCACTCTCTCGGTTACTAGAGCAAGCAGTTTGCACCATGCTAATGAGCCTAATCCACACATCATATTTATGCTTAAATATCTGTTGTTGTTGTTGTTACTATGTGCCGTTGAGTCAGACTCGACTCATAGTGACCCCTCCTTCGGTTTCTGAGGCAGTATCACTATGGAAGTAGATTGCCCCATCTTCCTTCTGAGGAGTGGCTGGTGGGTTTGAACTGCCAGCCTTCTGGTTAGCAGACAAGTGCCTTAGGCACTACTCTACCAGAGCTCCCGCTTAAATATCTAGAACATAGAACCTATAAATTAAGCGTTTACACTTTTAAATAAAATATGTTCTGTGTTCTCACCATAACAAATACATTCTTCATAACAACCTGGAAGGTCAGGTTTGGATTTAGAATTCCTGGACTCCTTGGGGTATTGTGCCAAAAGGTAGAGGTGCGGAGAGAGCCCCTGTGAGGTCCTGAGACCTTGTCCTCACAGCTCCATCTCATATGGATGCCCCAGACCACGTGGCTAAGGTCACCTATGCCCACACAAATAGCCACCCCAATGGCTACCCTTTAGGTCAAGAGTCTGCATTCAGTCTGTCCTTGGGAGGAAGCATCCCAGAAAGAGGTCTGCACAGACAGCATAGGCTTGAGCTGTTTGCACAAGGGATTTGGGCTCCAGGTGCTCAGAGTGTGGGCTGGAAGGGAAGGCACAGGCTCAGGGTGGACTACCCACTTTACTGTGTAGACTCCTCATCTCAGAGGAGGGGCTGTCTAAAGTGAGGGGCTTAGGGATGGACCCCTATTGCCTGGGTCTGAGGGTCGGGGAGTGGGGTAGAGGGAGGGGAGAGGTGACGGTGACAGTGACAGGAGCCTGTCCTCCAACCTCCCTGTGAAGGTAATGGTCTGGGTACTAGGGAGGGCCTTGCTGGGGACGAGAGGCTGGGAGGGCACCACCTTTTCTAAAAGGGCAGGAGAGGGACAACTAAGAGCTTCAATGCCCGAGCCTCCTCCCCGTGGTCCGGCATCTCTGGGTGGGCACAGCCGGTTCCTGGTATGACCACCTCCGGTCAGTCCAAGTAGGGCTTATGAAGGCCTTGTTGAGGAAGAGGTTGGTGTGGTTTGGAAAAACGGGCATTTGTATTTTCCAGGAGTCCTGACTCTTCGAGTATCTTCCTTCTGTTCTTGGCTTCCCTTATGGCTTCAGGTTGAGGAGCTAATCACCAGCTGCCGATGACCTCGGCCATTGCTGGGAAGCCTGGAATTGCTGGAGCCTCTAACTCTAGCATGCTCTCAGCTCCTCCTCCAGCCCGGGGGCTCGGGCCTCTCTAGGTTAGCGTCCCACCTCAGTGACACCTTGTCCCCTGTCACACTGCGGCTCCAGGGAGGAGACTTGACCCAAATGTCTAAGGTTACTGGGAGCCCACTGCTCATTGTGTAGGAACAAGATAAGCACTTGGAACAGTCTCTGGTTTGACACATTTCTCACATGCTACTTTACCCACGGGGAGGCAGGGTGGGATAATAAAAACAATAGTGGCTTGAGATGAAGTACTGGGTATTAGAGTTCTGGCTCAGCCATGGTGTGTTTAGCATCTTTCCTCCAGTGTACTATTCTCTCTGGTCCACTGTTTATTAACAGTAGCCAGTGATTATTAGTCTTACTGTGTGCCATGCACTGTGCTGGGTGCTCTACCTATATTTTCCAACTAAATCATCAAAGCAACTCAGAGGAGTAAGGATTTTCTCTTCTTAAAGACGAGGAGGCTGAGTCCCAGAGAGGTTAAGTGACTTGATGAAAGTCACATAGCTG